AAAGAGTTCGTTTTGGCGGGGGAGACATCAGAGTATCTCACCCAGGCAAGAAATCTTCTGTGTAAAGTCTAGATAGCCAAATAACAAATAAAATAAACTAAAGACACTAACTACAAGTCCTAAGCTAAAGGAAAACATTGTAACTATAAATACAACGTTGAAAAACATTTTTATTTAACATCACATCAGCGTGGCCAACAAATAACGACATTAACGACAACGTGCTGGAACAAAATCTCAAATATATAGCGATCTACCATCCAACTATCTCTTAGCAAGAATACAAATGAAAATTAATTTCAAATACCATCTAACCAACTGAACTGAACGTACCGTGACCCGAAATCAGTCAGACCACGAACGTTACCTGTGGTCGCCATACCTGCCGACCAGCCCATTGTGCAAGCATCAGTAGCTAGGTTAGGCTCCCACAGTCATCGCCTATCTGCAGTTCTACATCCCACAGAGTTAATGGCCACAACCACCTGAAATGAAATACTTCCTCGCCCAACATCATGTACACTAGTTACTTGCAGTGGCAGTATGATCATGAAAAACATCCAATGAACATGTGTGTTCAGAGTTTCAGCTACCATCTGTAAAATCACAACAAACCCCCCATCTACATCAATAATGCCAATATCATCGGAACACATTAGCATGTGCGCGTGGGTCCGAAAACCATCAGAGTAGAATAAACCCCCAATTAATCCGCTCCTCGCTAGAACAATGCGTTAAACACATACCAAATCACTACTAACACACAACAAGCAAAACCTAAAAAAAAAAACATGTAACTGCAATAAGAACATAGTAATCAGTTAACATCGGGATTCTTGATCAGTTGGATTTTCTCTCCGACGTCCAGTAATTCTTCGTAGATAAGTTGTCATAATATTTGAACCCTCAGCCGCAGGGCTTACATTACCCTGCTTCCACCACGCTTTGCCACCACCGCATGGCATTAAGAAGACGTTTGCCTTTGTCACAACCGCGTGACAATAAGAAGACTGTTGCCTTTGCTACCACCGCGTAACAATAAAAAGACGTTTGCCTTTGTCACCACCGCGTGACGTTTAAAGGACTTTCCACACTTTTACCTCACCTTCATGAAAGCCTACAAATAAACATTTTCGTTCACAACTCGGCCAAAGGCCTACAATGGACATTGTCTCGGCCGCGTGGCCATCGAGAGACATATAGGACATTACCTCGGCTTCATGGAAGGCCTACAATAACCTCGGCTTTGTAAAAGCCTACAAACTGACATTTTCGTTCACTACCTCGGCCAAAAGCCTACAATAGACATTGTTGTGTCGACCGCAGGGCCTTCGAGAGACATAACACACTCTTGTCTCGGCCGCGTGGCCCTCGAGAGACATATCACCCTTTTTGCTAATGTCTCGGCCGCTCGGCCATCAAGAGACAATCTTCTCGTCACTGCCAACACCGCTTGGCTTCTAAGTGACATTCAGCAATTACCTCGGCCGTAGCGTACAATGTTTGACTGGTACCAGCAATATTAAAAACGTCATTGCCTAACTGGCTAGGTCGGTATACTTACCCAAAGCTCCCCAATATATAAACAGACCTACAGTTAAACCTTGATTTGGAGACATAAAACAAAATAAACAGACCCCAAGTTCAGGTCGAGACGTATACAAGCCCCTCCGTGGACAAAAGACAATCACTCCTAGTCGGCAATAGACACGGACCACTCCTAGTTAACTTAACAATAGACGCAGACCACTGCTAGTGAAAACAAAACTGGAAAATCTGGATCACACGACAAAACCACACAGGCCGCACCTACACAAGTCCTGAACCAAATTTAAAATCAACACATGATAACCTGAGCCGACTAGACCTGGCAAATTAAACTACTCCCAACCCTACTCATCCGTGAACAAGATGATATAATACCTAACTAAGAACAACCAAAGTCTTCGATAACGAAACCACACACGTGGGCGAACACATCAAAGTCTGAATTAAAAGAGCACGTGTGTGCCATTTAAAAATCACTTTAAAATGGAAAATCACTACTGTTACCTGCACAAACTAGAACTCCTTCGTAAATTAAATCCTGTAACATCTAACTATACAAATATCCAAAGACGGCAATATAGAAGCCCCACACGTTAGGCGCTTTTCAAAATCAATCTAAACTGTGAACTACTATAATTACTTGAACTACTATAATTACCTGCACAAACTAGACTAGACACAAAATAATTCATGGCCACCAATATCCTGCCGACGACGCTACTTGTACTAGACCGGAGAGGCCCTTTAGTAACAAGAAAAAATAAAGAAAAAGAGTTCGTTTTGGTGGGGGAGAGATCAGAATATCTCACCCAGGCAAGAAATCTTCTGTGTAAAGTCTAGTTAGCTAAATAACAAATAAAATAAACTAAGGACACTAACTACAAGTCCTAAGCTAAAGGAAACAACTGTAACTATGAATACAACGTTGAACAACATTTTTATTTAACATCACATCAGCGTGGCCAACAAATAACGACATTAACGACAACGAGCTAGAACAAAATCTCAAATATATAGCGATTGTAGTTGGTCTCGTTTTCTCCCAAATAATTTATGCCCGACAGATGACGTCAGTAATACATGTGAGTGGAATATTTTGACTCTAACTGGGACGACACTGGAATTGTTGAGTCTAAACTTTACAAGAATTATAGAAAAATGCTGATAGTCAAACTTTGCGTGAAGTATAATTATTCACGTGAAGAGAAATGCTGACAGTCGAACTTCAGGCAAAGTACTATGAATCACGGAGAATTCAGGAAAAACGAAGCGGGGCATTAGAAGGCTATATAATACCGTAGAAAGGGCTGAGGGGCAGTCTCGTTTGGGCCTAGGAACAGAGTGCATGGTCAACGGTGGATGATGTGTGGATTCAACATGTGTTTGAGTGCTTTTGTTCCTCCAACGTCGAACTCGGCAAACCAAGCTGGCAGGTAATATGTCGGCGGGCCGTGTTAGTTTTTCTGTCAGGACAGTTGTTGTGTTTTCGGTCATGATGCTAGTGTAGGACGATTCTGATTTCGGATAGAAGTTAATACTGACACTTTTGATATTTGAGTTATAATGTGTGCCTGGACAGTAGTCTATTTCATGTGCCGGCTGAGGAAACCGCGAGTGGAAGATTAAAGTGCTGAAACAGTATCGTGTCGTTTTCCCAGTCGTCCATTTTCTGCTCGTCGTGTGATGTCGGTGAGTGAGATAGCAAGCGTGCGATGATGCGAGCCAGATAGAAGATAAAGGAGAGTCATCGCAGCGATCTACCATCCAACTATCTCTTAGCAAGAATACAAATGAAAATCAATTTCAAATACCATCTAACCAACTGAACTGAACTTACCGTGGCCCGAAATCAGTCAGACCACGAAAGTTACCTGAAGTCGCCATACCTGCCGACCAGCCCATTGTGCTAAGCATCAGTAGGTAGGTTAGGCTCCCACAGGTTGGCCTGGAAGTCAAATAGGTCGCTCCAAGACTAAACAAACTATTTTTTACCTAAAGAGCCAGATTTTTCCCGTGTTGTCGTCTAACACTAATAAATGTTAATGTTTCCCCTTTGGCCTGTTGGCCATTTTCGAACTAGAACAAATCTAAGATCTTTAATCTGCTGTACTGTAGTCTTGGTCACTTCCACCCTATTACACAGATTCTTGTAAAAAGCAGGAAGGTAAGGCAGTGGAGTGCTCAGAGAGTCATAAGTACATTCAACGTGTTTACTGCCAAACAGCAGTGGGTGCCACGCCATTGTAAATTTTAAAAATAGATTAAATGACTTTTTACCCGCCAAAAGTGCATGCCAGACCCTTGTGTTTGTGTGTGTGTGTGTGTGCGTCCGTGTCTGTAACTGTGTATGTGTGTGTTGTTTGTGTGTGGGTGGGTGTGAATGTGAGTATTTGTGAGTGCGTGCTTGTTTGTTTCTTTGCTTGTTATATACCTATGGGCTATTACTGCAACAACCCACCAACCTTGGACTAATGCTCTATGGCTAAATGGATTTATAGTTGTTTGATTCTCACCAGTAAGATTAATACTGCAGAATGCAAACCTGGAAATGTGTGTGTTGAGGTGAGGGGAGGGGAGGGCTAAACAATCGGCACTCTAAGGTGATGTGGTCAACATAATATGGGTTGTTTTTGCTTCCATTAAGATGTACTCGTAACCACCTGAATGCAATGGACCTGGAAGTACTCGGACCAGGACCATGGTCTATAAATATAGATATACCATTGTATGCCCAGTACATCTAGTGGCGTGGAGGGGGAAAAAGTTAACAGTTTGTTAGTTTCATTAAATGATCAGAACCTCATATCATTACTGAAATCAATACAAAGCGGTCTGCTGTCAAACTGTCTGCAACTTTTTTAAACTGGATATATCGAACTATATTTGCAACTCCTAATCACATAAGCCCACTAAACTACCACAATCTAGAGAATCATCAGTCATCATCATCAGTTCTCGTTATGCCTAGTGGCACATGAGGCTTCAGAGAGGACTTCCCATGCTTTCCTGTACTGTGCAATTTTCAATGCAGTTTTCCAAGTCAAAGATGCCGCCGTCAGGTCACTTTCCATCGTTAGTCTCCATGTTGTTTTTGGGCGCCCCTGTTTTCTCTTTCCCTCTGGTGTCCATGTGAGAGCTGTTTTGGCAGGTATATCAGAAGTCATTCTCATAACGTGGCCAAGCCATTTCCATCTTCTCTTGGTAATCATACTGTCTAAAGTTTCTTGGTTTGTGGTTTGAAGTAGTTTAGTGTTTGAGATTCTATCTGGCCAGACAATTTTGATAACTCTACGTAGACATGTGTGGTGGAAGGTGGACAGCTTGTGTGCATCCTTTTTGGTCATTCTCTAGCATTCCGCTCCATAGAGAAGAACTGGCAAAATCTCGAGTATAAAGCACTATTTTTCAGATTATCTGCTAACGTTGAGCAGTACATGTCATATCTTTTCCAGACTCAAGTCGAAAAGCAACACACTTCACTTAAACCTTTTCCTAGCCTTCATTCTTCGGGCCAGTTTCTCCTTCGCACACAGAATCTTGTTTGTCAACGGGCTGGGACTGAAGATGGATCTGGAGAAGAAAAGTGACGGCACATACGCCTTTAATCACCAAGGACTGGTATGTGACATGTTTTTATTTTGATGTACAACTTTGGGTCATGCTTAAAAAATTGAATTATTTGTGTTTAGTTTATTGGTAACTGAATGTTCAATGCTGAATGAGGATTTGACATCCTAGCACTCAGGAGATTAATGGTAAATGATAGGGCTCGTTGCTCATGAATGTCTCCTCGAGTGATTCAGGCTCCTATAATGGATCACCTGACGAGAGAATCTCCTCACAGTGCACGAACTCGCTAGTGCCGGTGATGATTCCATAGTATAGCACAATCATACAGAAGGGAAATATTACTTTTGTGGTGTTAAAAAAAATTAGGCCGCTGTTGATTTTTCGAGGGGGATGGTAATTAATATTATTCTTTTTATACATACATACATGCATACATACATACATACATACATACATACATACATACATACATACATACATACATACATACATACATACATACATACATACATACATACATACATACATACATGCATGCATGCATATGTGTGTGTGTATGTATGCATGCATGCATGCATGCATGCATACATGCATGCATGCATGCATGCATACATACATACATACATACATACATACATACATACATACATACATACATACATACATACATACATACATACATACATACATACATACATACATACATACATACATACATACATACATACATACATACATACATACATACATACATACATACATACATACATACATACATACATACATACATACATACATACACACACACACACACACACATACATACATACATACATACATACATACATACATACAACATACATACATACATACATACATACATACATACATACATACATACATACATACATACATACATACATACATACATACATACATACATACATACATACATACATACATACATACATACATACATACATACATACATACATACATACATACATACATACATACATACATACATACATACATACATACATACATACATACATACATACATACATACATACATACATACATACATACATACATACATACATACATACATACATACATACATACATACATACATACATACATACATACATACATACATACATACATACATACATACATACATACATACATAAATACATACATACATACATACATACATACATACATACATACATACATACATACATACATACATACATACATACATACATACATACATACATACATACATACATACATACATACATACATACATACATACATACATACATACATACATACATACATACATACATACATACATACATACATACATACATACATACATACATACATACATACATACATACATACATACATACATACATACATACATACATACATACATACATACATACATACATACATACATACATACATATAGGGAACATTCTTCGCATAACATACCATACATATCATATACTAAATGAGGAAAGAAAGATCAATAACAAGAAGCAGGAAGGAGAAGAAGAAGAAGAAGAAGAAGAAGAAGAAGAAGAAGAAGAAGAAGAAGAAGAAGAAGAAGAAGAAGAAGAAGAAGAAGAAGAAGAAGAAGAAGAAGAAGAAGAAGAAGAAGAAGAAGAAGAAGAAGAAGAAGAAGAAGAAGAAGAAGAAAAGAAAAAGAAGAAGAAGAAGAAGAAGAAGAAGAAGAAGAAGAAGAAGAAGAAGAAGAAGAAGAAGAAGAAGAAGAAGAAGAAGAAGAAGAAGAAGAAGAAGAAGAAGAAGAAGAAGAAGAAGAAGAATAAGAAGAAGAAGAAGAAGAAGACAAGAAAAAGAAGAAGAAGAAGAAGAAGAAGAAGAAGAAGAAGAAGAAGAAGAAGAAGAAGAAGAAGAAGAAGAAGAAGAAGAAGAAGAAGAAGAAGAAGAAGAAGAAGAAGAAGAAGAAGTCGAAGAAGAAGAAGAAGAAGAAGTCGAAGAAGAGAAAGAAGAAGAAGACGACGACGATAAAGGAGGAAAAGCAGATGCAGCTATTGGAAAATGATAAGCTGCTACATTATATTATATCGACTTTACTCCTCAACCGCTACTAAAGACCCTTAATACAGGGACTTTTTATTAATTCTCATTCCCATCTCAAAGGGCAGAAGTTCTCTAGTGTGGTATACTCTTGAACTTCCGCATTTATTATTTAGGAAGTAATAAATATGTATTTACTGACCATTTCCTGGTGGTAAGTAAAATCAAGTTGAAACTGAAAAGATATATAACATCTTATAATCATAGAAACCAATATAATGTAGGCTTTCTCAGAGAAAAAGAAATTAAGGAACAGTCCTCAGTTACGGTCTCTAATAAGTACCAGGTGTTGCAGCAGTTAGCTGAAGATGTCAACACAGAAGTCTGCTGGGATCAGATCAAAGGAATCTGGAATGAATCTTGCGTAGAAGTTCATGGCAAGAAAGAAAGGAAACATAAAGCATGGATAACACCAGAAACCATTAAACTGATTGAAGATAGGAAAAGTAAAAAGGCAGAATTAAACAATAGCAAAACTAGAGCTGCTAAAGCTAGAGCTCAGGAGAAATACACAGAAGCCAACAAGGAAGTTAGGAGGCATATAAGGGCAGACAAAGTGAAATATCTAAATGATCTAGCACAAGAAGCAGAGACAGCAGCAGCAAAAGGAAACCTCAGAGAACTTTACAGTAACACAAGAAAATTAGTAGGTAAATATAGTCAGCCAACTGCATCAATCAAAAATAGTCAAGGAAAGGTACTTACTAACACTACAGATCAAATGGACAGATGGGTTGAATATTTTGAAATGCTTCTAAATAGACCAGGCCTAGAGGTTCCCCCAGATATCCAGCCTTTAGAAATGGAACTGGATATCAACTGTGAGATACCATCCAAAGAAGAAATTAGGAAAGCTATAAATCTTCTCAAGGAAGGAAAGGCGACAGGCCCAGACGGTATCCCAGCTGAAGCCATCAGGGCCAACATAAACACATCAACGGAATTGCTACATAGATTATTTAGTAAAGTCTGGGAGACCGAAGAAATACCAGCAGACTGGAGAGGATATCTTGTGAAACTGCCCAAAAAAGGTGATCTACAGGAGTGTGAAAACTATAGAGGAATTATGTTTCTGTCAGTTCCTGGAAAAATATTAAGTAGAATTATTTTGGAAAGAATAAATGGTGCTATTGATAAAATCCTAAGAGATGAGCAGGCAGGTTTTTGGTCAAACAGATCCTGTACTGATCAGATAGCCATATTACGTATTATAATAGAGCAAAGCATTGAACTGAACTCACCACTTTACATTGGATTTATAGACTATGAAAAAGCATTTGACAGCATAGATAGGGAATCTCTCTGGAAATTGATGGGGCACTATGGAATCCCACAGAAAATTATCAACTTAGTAAAGGCAACATATAAAGACATGAAATGTCGAGTTCTTCATGGGGGAAAGCTAACAGATGCATTTGAAATAAAAACAGGGGTGTCTTTTGTCGCCTCTCTTATTTTTACTGGCTATAGACTAGACTATGAAAACAGTAACTGCTAACACCAAGAATGGAATTCAGTGGACCCCTACAAAACAGCTTGATGATCTGGACTTCGCTGATGATATTGCTCTTCTGTCCCATTCACGGAATCAGATGCAAGATAAATTAAATATACTTAACGCGAGATCAAAGCAGCTTGGTCTGAAAATCCATAAAGGAAAGACTAAGATAATGAGAATAAATCAGGCAAATAGTAATGTGGTTTCTCTTAATGGCACCCCACTCCAAGACGTGGAGTCGTACACCTATTTATGCAGTAATGTAGATAAAGATGGAGGAACTGATAGAGATATTAAAATAAGAATACAAAAGGCAAGAGGGGCTTTCATAGCACTAGGGAATTTGTGGAGGTCAAAAGAAATAAAAAGAAATACTAAACTAAAAATTTTTAATTCTAATGTCAAATCAGTACTATTGTATGGGGCGGAAACATGGAGAACAACCAAGGCAATTACTAATAAATTACAGACATTCATTAACTGGTGCCTGCGCAGAATAGAGGGAATAAAATGGTATGATAGAATAACTAATGTAGAACTTTGGGAGAGAACTAAACAGGCTCCAGTGGATCAGGAAGTGAGGAAAAGACGCTGGCGTTGGATAGGGCACACACTGAGAAAACAGGAGAACAGCATTACTAGAATGTCTTTGCATTGGAACCCACAGGGGCATAGGAATAAAGGAAGGCCAAAAAACACATGGAGAAGAGAGCTGGAGAACGAGGTTAGAAAGATTGGAGGACATGGGGAGAGCTCCATGCAATGGCGAAGGATAGAACGACTTGGCGTGAGTTGGTTGGGGGCCTATGCTCCATTGGGGAATAGAAAGGCAGAAGAAGAATAAATAGTTCATGATTCATTACAACACACCCAGACTGCCTGGTATTATGCCTACGCTGGTAAATTTTGCTGCACGGATCGTAAGTGACATCATTTACTTTTTAGAGCTTTCACTTAGGTTCAGGTTTAAATTCATGACATAAGCCATACGTTGATTCTTTCTCAGCTAGGGACAGATGACTTTGATTATCCTAACCTATAAAAGTTTATTGTGTGCTTTCCGTGATTATCCTAACCTTTAAAAGTTGTGTGCTGTTTTCCACTCCCACTTCTCTTCTCTCTCTCTCTCTCTCTCTCTCTCTCTCTCTCTCTCTCTCTCTCTCTCTCTCTCCCTCTCTCTCCCTTCCCCTTTTCCTCCCGAGTTATGGTTGAAGTACAGTTTATTATCCTAATACGGGAGATAACCAGTTGATTTTGTTTTCTTCTACGTTAACTGGACAGATTTATGACCCTTGGATTGCTAGTTACATGCTAATAAAGATTAGGTAGTAACATTTGTTGAGTGAACATAACATTCCGATGCTGATTAACGCCTTAGCTGCTCTCTACATATTTTTTTTTAAAATCAAGATACAGGAGACTCACATAAACCATGTGCGTCATTTATGGACAATGGATTGGAGGGTTTGGGGGTGTGACAGCTTTACTGTGAAAGACATTTTGTGCTGAGTACCGGCACTAAAAAAAAAAAAAAAAAATTAAAGGAAAAAGCTGCTGTGCTAAAGTATCATTCAGTTATTGTCTAAGATGTTTGGTTCTATATCGGTTTTTTTTCTTTTACTTTATCTCTTCGGCTGCGAGATTTCGTAGGGAATTTCAAGTGAGTTCTTCGGAAGGTTTTAAAGTATAGGGGGCGGGATGGTTTAGCGTAAATTGGTGTTTAAAAGTAACCCGGCAACACCAAAACTGCTATGTTCTAGGCGTGTCACGTATTGGTTGCTTTCAGCTTGTTTATCATTAATGGCCTCATTATCTTCAGTGTGTGTTAGCTTCTGTTCGTTTGTCGCCATCACTGCGCTCTGTTTGTAGGCCGTGTTTTTACTTCCTGACTTCGCCCTTGACATTCCTGCATGTAACCCAAACCGACTAGTATGCTTACAAAGATCCTCCCTCACCGACACCCAAGGATGGACCTTCTCAGGGCCTGCCCCATAATATTCCTAATTCACATCTCACTGCATAAGGTCCACCCAATAGAAACACCGGTTCAAGCCCCTGAACTTTCTGGGTCGCTAAATGAATTACAGGATACATTGAAGTTCATACCAGAGACGATAATCATGACAAGTAACGAACTCAGGCCTATCTGCACACTAGCTGATCTTTCACTGATGCTTGCTCAGGCTAGTCAACGTTGCTCAAAGTTAGAGGGGTGTCCCGGTGTAATGCTGTATTCACAAAGCTTTCTGCGTTGCGTGTTAATCGCTCCTCTGTGAGCAGCGGTCGCCCCTATTGCGTTCGTTCTCACTTGTAAGGAGAATTAGATTTTGTTGGTGGGTAAATGATAGCCGTCACAGATTTTCAGAAAGAAATGATTCTATTTCAGCTGTCAGCGTTCGTTTACTTGTAATGATTATCGTCTCTGGTATGAACTTCACTGTATCGTTTGTGTCTGCAGCAACAAAGCGTTTTGCGCCCCCCCCCCCCCCCCCCCCAAAAAAAAAAAAATTTCTACGGAAATTACGCTTAATTTACCATGCTGAGCTGACATTCAAATTATAATTAAAGGAAAAAAGATGACATCAAATTACTTTTGAAAATTATAACACAGCTAGAATAAGATTGGCGTTGTAATTTAAAAAAGTGAAACTGAAAGGGCATACTCCTTTCCACACTAACTGCGTTCATTAATTAAATTCGTGATTCCAAGTTAAGCTAAGACTTGTGGACTCATCTCATTTTCAAAGGCATACCACTGACCCAATTCTTTTAAATAGGTATACTGAAATACATATACTTTATTTATTTTAGAACGCATAAAGGATTGCTTTCTGGAGTTAGGGCTTTAAAAACAGTAAAACAGTTTTCATTTTGTTACTGCATGTTAGTTCTCCTTGCGACTTAGGGTGATCCAAGAGACAACATAGAGAAAGAACTGACCCGCCAGCTAAACTGACTCTGAAAACAATTAAATCGTTCTCCAGTGGATCCCGGCTCACTGGAGCATACCAGGAAATCAGTTAGCTGACAAACTTGCAAAACATGGCACAAAGGAGAAACAACACACCATTCATGGTCATTAACAGAAATCAAACCACTCATCATAGGGAAATACAAGAAATTGTGAAGAGAACAAACCAACAGTAAGCATCCACAAGACCCAAGAGGCAACTCACCGAATGGTCTGATCTGAGCATACGAAACTGAACACAAAGAAAACGAACAAGGCTGTAAAAAAAATGATTTCACAAACCCCTTTAACTTTGAAAGAATGATTTAGATAAAGAAGCGCTAACAACATTTTTGGCTTGGCTTTTTTACCCCACCAGGAAATCACACAAGCGATAAACACCCGATGACACAAAGTGCCACCATGCGGATGAGGATCACCGTGGAGAGGTCCCAGAACCCGCTTTCAGACATTTGGCCATAATGATGACCTGCCTATATTGCGGCCCCTGGCAAAAGCCAGAGTGGGGCTTCAAATAACAAAAAATAACGTCCTAAAAAGGACGTAAGGCTATATCAATCTAAACACCATTTTTCTGATCCCCAGCATTGGCAGTGCCGGCTTCTACAGACAAGTTTCATGTACACAATCTGCGCCAGTCAAATGTGGATCTTTGTTGAGGGTCTGTACCTTCACATGCTAATCTACAGGACGCTGTCTACAGAGAGCAATGGCGTTAGACCGTACATAATTCTTGGCTGGGGTAGGTATCCTAGGTTAATACACAGTTCCATAAAATGTGCAAAGACGGTGTTTGTTTCAAAACAGTGGCCATGGAAATATGGATATTCTTGATGGGGTTGACTGACTGACTTTCTACCCCACCAGGACATCACACAATCGATAAACACCCGATGACACAAAGTGCCACCATGTGGGTGAGGATCGCCGTGGAGAGGTCCCAGAAACCGCGTTCAGACAATTGGCCATTTTTATAGCCTGCCTATATTGCGGCCCCAGGGTGGGGCTTCAAATAACAAAAAATGTCATCCTGAAAAGGACGAAACTGGATAATATGCCTGATGGAATTCAGTCCAGCCAATCTTTTTTGCTTAAGGGCTTAAGGGCTTTTATCGGACGACCTCAGTTCTTCAATGCCTATCAGTGCCTGTTTGGTGTTTTTTTTTTTTTTTTTTTTTTAATGATTGCCTTTTCTTAGAGTGTTTACAAAATAGCACCATCTTGTCTGTGATGTCGGTTATACGATTAAATTTCTTTTTTTTTTTCCCCTTGGGAAGAAGTGCCAGGAAGAACAGAAAAAGTCATGTAAGGACACTCTCAAAACTGTTCTCAACTCATTTGGCTTCAACACATCAACATGGGAGGCACTGCACAGGATCGTTATGGATGGCGTACCTTCATAGGGCATGGAGCATAAGCCTGCCAGACAGAGGAGGTTACACAGGGAGAGAAATGGAGACACACTAAGAAGAACCTATCGCTAATCCCCCACTTACTGCGGCTTCCACCTTTTTTCCACACTGCTCAGGAACTGTCCAGGCTCATACTGGATAATCAGCCTCTTTCATACTCATTATCACTGATCTTTACTACTTTGGATGAAAAGTGTTCTTCATCACACATGATTGGTCAGCATCACGCCGGCCGCCTTCACTTCTCAGAGATGTACCTGGTACCTACTCAAGGCTGGATCGACCTAAAAACCAAGGTCATTTTTGACAAATCTCCGTCAGAACCTGCAGGCGAGCGTCTAACTTTACACTCTTAAAGCTCTCTCTCTCTCTCTCTCTCTCTCTCTCTCTCTCTCTCTCTCTCTCTCTCTCTCTCTCTCTCTCCTCTCTCTCTCTTGCTCTGAATATATATACATATATATACTGTTTCTTTCTGGTCTGTGTTTTGGTCTGTGATTTATCTACAGTTTCGGTTTTATACTGACTCAGATTACTTCCTTTTGTCCCCCTCAGTTTTACCACTGGCTGTTGTCCTTCCTTGGGTGTTCGTCAAGGCATTGGTTGATAACACGCTGTAAGTAATCATTTGTGTGTCATTTAGAAGAGTGTACGCTCGTGATAACAAATGGCTACAATAATCAATTTGGCAGATAATTTCACTTTAAATTTACTAAACTAATCATCACTGGTTGATTGATTGCTACCAATATTCACACATTTTTAGTGTAACAAAAACTAATCTGTATGAGATGACCAATTGAATGTTGAATGAAGTATCAATATCATAGCACTGGGGTCACTCCCATAAGCTCTCTGTTCCCATCTTCAGCAGCAGACGAAGAGTTCAAATTCCTATGGTACAAGTAACCATCTGATTGTATATCCGTCTCCTTCTTCAATGGAATGTCGATTGTCAGTTAGATCCCCTGATCACACCCCGCATTGCTATTCTCCTCAGGCCGTGATGATCTATTTGTTCTCCCGCACTGTTCACTCGCTCCCAAAGAACACTCACAATATCTAGCTTGTCATACATCAGTTCACCACCAAGTAGTGACGAACCGGTCAGTCTGTCTGCCTGCTAGTCTCTCAAAACACCAACATAACCTTGAGAAAGTATTCGAAGATTGCTAACTACCCGAAACCTCTGAAACGATGTTTGGCACTCTGCACGGAGAATGCCCGTCTCCACCATGATGACTAAATAACAAACGAGTTCAGTGATTTTGTTAGTTCTCCCCTCCCCCCCCCCCCCCTTTCCTCCTCCTCTAGGTTTTCCAAACCTGAAAGTTTGACACCGTGATTTTACAAAATCGCAATCTGCATTGGCTAATCCCAGATACCCCGTTCAGCCTCCAAACAAATTATACCTTGGAGACCCCAGCGGCAAGACTAGCTGGATGTTATCACCAGTGCTGTTTGGGTAAAGATGAAGCAATTCGGGAAGTAATTCGATTTTTTTTTTTTAAGTCTAGAATGAGTCAAAACTTCACATTAATGGGTGGTTGTCATTATCAATAAATGTTTTAGTTTTTTTTTAATTGAGTTATCAATTATGAGACATACTGTGACTGTCTGTGTTCTGTGAGATATACTTTACGCCATATTTTCTTGTAGAAATTAGCAGGCTGACTGCCCAGACTGAAACTTGCTCTGTTACTTTACGTTTGTAATAGACAAAGCTTTGCTTCGAATTATGATATAATCTACAGCTGAAAAGATAAACTGTAATGATTTTGTCTCTGTGTTTTCTATTTCATAAGGATCATCCTCATGTGTCTTGTTAACTGAAGTGGGCGATCAATACTCTCCAGAATCTGCGATCCGCAACTGCCTGTATCAGCTCGTGTGTTGACACCCCTCGATGCCATGACGAAAGACTGTCAATGATCTTCTTACGCTGTCTTCCTCCGTCTCTCTTTCCACAGATCATTCCAGTGGTCACAACATGTTCCATATTCCCATTTTTCATTACATGGCCAAAAAATGATGACTGTCTCTTTCTGATGTTTGTGTTAAGTTGTGTTCGAACATTCGCCTTTTTTTAAAAACATCTGGTTGATCTTCTTAGTTGCTCAAGGAATTCTAAAGATATTGTTTAGCTTGTGTAATAATTGTGCAGGCGTCACAGCCATATGTTAAAACTGGCTCTATATAGTATGCGATATTTCTTTTCTTTTCCTAAACCTAGGGACATCGTAAAATGCAGTTTTGTCCTAAATATACACATCGTAAACTATGTTCTCCTCTTGATACAGGACAAAGTGCCACACAGTATCCTGGTAAATACTTGCGTGCTGGTGATGAGGTTAACATTCTCACCCACCGAGGGCTGACTCGTCTATAAGAATACGAGATTCACATCACATACCTAAAGCGCCAATGGCGTGAAAACAACCCTTGACCTTTGCTTACCTGACATTACTAATTTACATCAGGGATTTATATTTACCTCACGACTTAAACATTTTCAAGCTTTAAAGGTTTCTTGTTTCTTTAGTGCTGATAAAAGAAACTCATTTTATGTTTCTTTCTGCGAACTTTACTGTTAAGTTCGACCCTGTACTCTTTCTTTATTTTATAAAACCTCAAGTTTGATCGAGACCTCCCTTTAGAGTCATTTAAATCTGACTTTTTTTTTTCAACAGTATGATTGGCACTGTAAAAGATATTTTGTTTCTCTTTAAGAATACTGAGGTATTCACTGTACTAACATTCATTGTTTTGTGCTTCTTTCTTCTTCTTTTGTAATACTACTTGTAGCATAAAGCGTTATGGAGAGGAGTCAAATGTAGTTTCCTGTCTTTTGCTAGTTGCATACATTATGCTAATTTCATTTCGCAGTTATGTGGTGTCTCTTTTACTCCCTCCACTCATCTCTTTCTTGGTAGACCTCTTGACGTGTAGCCTGCTTTTCTTTTGTATAGTAAGCTCTAGCTGATAGCTGATTTGGTTAATTCTGACCAAATGACCAAACAATTCGATTATTTAAGAGTACATAACTCTAACATAAGGTGTAACAATATATGATTAAAATAGATCCTTTGAGAAATTACATCAAAGCCAGCTAATCTACATTTTGAATTTTTCTGTTTTATGACATCGCCAAGTTCATTTTGAGTATTAATAAAAGCAAACATCCACAGTTGCTGGAATGTGACCTCCAACCATCTGTACATCTGGATTCTGCATGGACCGATGCTTGCTACAGTATTAGTATGTACATTCTCCAAGTTTGCATGTTTGTTTGCATATGTGTATGTAAATTATCTACAAACACATCTTGGGTAGTCTGGCTCATATTAACCCTTCTTAGTCGTCTCTTACGTCATGCATAATTGTTTATGGCAGTGTTTCCGATTTTGAAGTACGCAGACCTATAGGAGTTCATGGAACTTCTTCTTCTTCTTCTTGGAGTTTGCCGGCGGAGTTTTGTGTCCATATCTGGTTTACAGATCTGGCTTATTTGTATGCACACCCTTGGTTCTCGCAGGCAAATGTACTCTGTCTTTGTGGGAAACTATTCTGATTTGTCGACTTTCCCTAAATGCTTGTTTCGGGGTGGGGAGGGGGGGGGGGTTGCGGGGCAGCTGGTCTAATCTCTTCGTCCCCACAATAGAAACATAGAACCCACAGGTGAAGTCCGGGGAACAAATGTAAGGAGTTAGTGTTAAAAAACACTAACTACACCGAAACAACAACAGCAACAACAACAACAAACGCCCACCTTCCCAACTAGCTTTAGTTGCTAAAATTTATAAGTTAAATAACAACTGGTTTAGATTATTACTATAGTCTGTTTTAGAAGTCGTACTCTGACACTTTAATAAATTTCAAGAAAACTCATGAACTGATCAACACTAATGTTTGTATGTTTTCTTAGATGCCCCGTGTCCTTATGATTTCATAACTTATAATTCAACAAACAGGACAGCAATTTTCTTAATGTGGTTAATTTCTTTGATATTGATTTGACTAGTAATCTGTGTGCCCCTCACAACAATAATAACAAAAATAGAATACACGGTAAATGATGTAAGCGGGAAGTTTGTTTGGAAATCACTTCATATGTGCAGCGATGCGCGATTATTTTGTGGATAGCCATCTCGCATACACTGATAAATCTGCAACTACTTAGAGACTAAAACTATAGAGGACACGCTGAGATTAAACACCTATGCAACTGTGTGAAGTTTGATGTTTTTAAATTTTGAGATTACTCAGCTACCTGTAAGCAGGCTGACTGCTTTATATCGATGACTGTTTTTCAATACCGCAAATTAGGCAAAATTTAAACTGGATCTTTATAATTCAAAAAAAAAAAAAAAAAATCTTCTAAAGACAGTTTGCATGCTGGTTTCAACATTTTCTACCGAACGATTATTGAGTTACATATTGTTAAAGTTGGTCAGACTTTGAAAAAGACGAAAGTATTTTTGCCCCTATAAATTTTTGTAGCCTGCTATGGAGGGAGCTGTAATGGTGTAGCGGCTAGAGGTTAGCTTCAGACGCGAAGGTTGCAGATGCAAATCAGCATTGAACTGGATTTGTTTTCTAGCATTACCTTGGTCGACGCAACTTAAATTAGTACCAGGTTAAGTCCTTGGAGGTAAAGACGGTCGGTGTGATGTTCATCCACTAACTTCCGATTGTTCTATATAATAAATAGCACTATATGCCAAATACGCCTAAAGGTGTTGAAATGTGTCCTTTACTTTTCATGCTATGGAGAAGTTGAACGTTACTGAGACTTAATGTAATGGAGCCAATTTCGGGTGCGGCTCACTGTTGATGACAACAGCTGTCTGCCTGATATTCACTGATTTACTGATATACCTAATAATTTGATGTATTGTATCTAATATGCTCACGGTTTGGGTTTTGGAACCCCGTTGGATGGAAGGGGTGGGGGGGGGGGGGGGAGAGAGAGAAGTAGACTTACTACTTCCTATGAAGTATGTCTTGTAAGGAGACTAATTAATTGTGTGTCCTTCGAAGTCGGAGTGCATTTGCCTGAGAGGTCAGAAACCAACAGACTGTAAGGCGGAGGTGCACACAAAACTCAGGTTGTGGATGGAACAAGACCAGATTAGGAAGCGGACGCACAGCCAGATCTTTCCACCAGAGTTTGACATTCAGTGATTTAAAGAGTAAGTTATGAAGATACTGAAAATGCAAAAGAAATGTTGCCGGAACAAATATAAGTGGGATGAGTAAATTTTTTTGCGATTAACAATGAAGACATGACACTCTTTTAAAAACCATACTGAATAGGCCAGATAAAGACAAACAGCCATGAGTTATGTATTGATTCGAGTGGGATGAGATCATTAGGAGATGAATGAAAGTTTGAAACAATGAGAAGAGACAGCACATGCTGGGGGTCCACTGAAGCCAACCTTCATTGTGGAGATGGTACAGGATAAACTGATTGAAAAATTAACCCAAATGATGCTGATCCGTTGTTTAAACCTAAACCTAACTGATTGGATGAAAGGGTCACTATTCAGAAAAAATAAAAAATCTAAACCCCACCTCCTACTTTTCCACAGCTGTATAAAGCAGTTTTATCTGTAAATTTATGTCTATGATAAATAATCTGCTGTCATGTGTTGGTAGGAGACATGGTAAGTGAGTATGGAATCTTATATATTCAGACATTTTTATTTAAAAAGATAGAGAGAGAGAGAGAGAGAGAGAGAGAGAGAGAGAGAGAGAGAGAGAGAGTTGGGGGGGGGGGGGGAATAGACGGACATGTAGATAAGCCATGTCAAACTAAAGGTATATTGTCATGAGGGCTATACACTTAACTATTGTATGGATCCGCTGCAGCCGTGCTATCAAAGGGTCGCATTCGGGTCGCATGCCGCACGTTTAACATGCCTGCGTTAAATAGACACATACATAAGTAGGCAGACATGCATACTGGGAGGCAAACAGACAGACAGATACGCATACAGACTGGCAGACATGCGTCCAGACATACAAGTGGGTAAAGAAACATATAAGTAGATATAGAGGGTTAGACAACACAGAGATACTGGCTTATTGACTAACTAATAGATCTGCTGGCTGGATGACTGGGTAAACGGGGATAAAGATGGTTCGGGGTATATACCTACTAGAATATAGGAAAGCAGCGAATGAAAGAAAAAAAATTTTGGCAGAGAAATGAATTCGTAATTTACGGTGGCTGCATGAGAATGGTTTAGAAGTGACAAGACGCTTCAAAATATGTCAGAGGCAGTGTGCCAGAAAAAAACAAAAAGACACAAAAATATAAAAAAACGCTGAAACCTTTAAGAAAGATTCAACAACATAGAATCATTTAGAAAAGCAGTCACTGATGGTTTTTTTTTAGCTCTTAGTTATATGATCTTTAGTATATCACATAATAATGTCAGTGCATGTGATTTGTAAAGCTGGTAATTGTAACCAGATTCATTTCGTAGTTGTAATATTATATTAACAGATTTCTCCTAAAGTCTAGCGTTTGAGAAATGAAAATGCAGGGGACAGAAATAACTTATCAAAACCTCGTCAGTGATCCCATTTCATCTGCATCATGACGCTAGACACCCATTTCTAATGACCAACTCGGACACGATGAGTGATGTGGTCAACATCACGCGGGTTGCCTTTACTTCTCAGGACTTTACTTAGTAGCCATTTGAGAGTGGTTCAGCCTGGTAGGTAAGTTATAAATCCGTCTGGCGAGAACTGTAATGCAATCAAACCTGACCATTAAACAGGATATGGTCTTTGAAACAAGGGAGAGTACTTGAAGTAAGCGTGTCTGCTACTAAGTTGTCGCAGATTTCATACATTTTACTAGTAGGTGAATTAAAAAAAAGTAAAGATCTATGTATACGCCTTTAGGTGTATCGGGCATTTAGGCAGAGCACTCATATTTTTACCGACCACTCGGCCCTAGGTGGGTAATGTGGTCTTTACTTCCCCAGAACAGCCATCCTGGTACCTATTTTAGGCTGGGTCAACCTGAGACGCCCTATATCATGATACAAAATCCACGCAGCCAGCAGTGGGTTTCTATCGCGGTACGTTGTAATTACGAGTCGGACTGAATTTTACTAGTAAGACACTTACAATGGAGTCTCTAGTTAAAGAAAATATGGGAATGCAAATGCACAAGCATTATTCTTTTATACGTCACAAAGGGGCTGGCAATCTAGTTCCCAGTTTTGTGATGTGAGAGATGAAAAACGCATGATCGTGTGCATTTTTTTTTTAACAGCTGAATTTCGTATTCTTCCTGAACATATCGCGAGTGCTGTGTTCCCGAGTCCGATCCAGCCAGCGTCACATGGGCAGAAGCAAATACAGGTAAGGAAACGAGGCTCAGTGTACATCACTGAGGGTGAGAGGTTCAGTTTACATCACTGGGGGTGGGTTTTTTAAATAACAGTTCAGTGTGGGACGTTATGACAAAATGACACCTGAAAAAAAAAGACTGAGAAGAGGGAAGGGAGGGAGCTGATATAAAGCACTAAAACTCGCTCGTTCCAGAAAAGACAAAGAGAATGAGTGAGAGAGAGAAAGAGAGAAAAGCTAACATAACAATATAATGTATGCAAGAGAGAAAAGGTGAGGGCATTAATATTAAAGAAGTGCAAATGAGGGGAAACACACAATCAGAAAAATTAAATGAATTTAAAATATATATATATTGAAAAGCAGCCATTAGCAGATGTAAACAAGACAAACACGAGAGAGAAAGAGAGAGAGAAGAAACAGAGTGAGTGATTAATAAAGAGAGATGATAATAGAGGAGAGCAAGGGGGGGGGGAGGAGGACGGGATAAAGAAGTTTGAGGGGGAGGGGGGGGAAGCAGAATCATGCCACTAAAATAGAAAAAAAAAAAAAAAGAATAAAACGATGTTGACAAAGGCAGAGACCAACTCGAAAATAATTTACACATATTCTGGCTTAAGCTTCACATTTTAAGCACCTTGTTCCTTCTTCTGAGCTGCAACCTCAGGTTTTAATAGATCATAGGCAATGTTTCCATTCCTTCTACTTTCAGCTCAGTACATTCGATTTGAGCAAATCCAGGTTTAATTGCCTGTTAAATTATGCTTGCTAAGAAGCAGTGCATATTTCGGTTTCCTCCCACAAGTGGAGCCCCGGAACCCCCAAGGAGAATGTGTCTACTCTTTAGCAAAGACAAGCAATGTTGCCATTCTAAAATCCACCAGCACGTTAAAACTTTTTCATAAAATGCTGTCTAGTCGAGGTGAAGTTCCTCTGTTTGTTTTGGGTAGTTCATTCTTAACTTCCACAGTTTACATGTGTAATCTGTCTGAATCAACAGTAAACATTGAAGCAGCTGGAACCTACTGAAAGAATGTCAAATGACAGAGAGGTTAAAAACTGTCTACACAAGGGAGTGAATTGTAGACGAAGAGGCAGACCAAAAAGACGATGGAGAGATGATATACAGGCAAATCTGCAAACGCTTTAGTGTCACCAACTTTAAAGAGAGGACTAATAACAAAGATGATGGATGCGGGTGATATATATAGCAATAAACCACAAGGACTTAGGATGCTGAAGAAGAGAAAAAAATATTATTTTTCATCATTAATATTTGTGTTTATTATTATAAATAGATAATTTATTACTTTATCAGAGTCACTACAATACTTAAATGTCTCCACCATGTCATTTCTTTCATAATTTTACTTTTTGTATATGAAACTAAGGCAAATCACGTGATTTTAAATATAATATGTGGGTGTGTTCCTAGGCACCTTGTCAAGTTTATAATAGTGCTTGTTCCACTGTTTGGAGTTTTCTACATCATCATCACTCTTGCATTCCCCCTGGGCTACGCTAGCCGCTTCGACATCAAACAGATGTATGTTGAGCAAACATACAATGCATTCCAGGTAGGTTCGACGGGTGGATGATGTTGGCTAGTGTCCACTTTTTGGCTAATGGCTGGTCTAACCTTTATCTTTGAGTCGAATCTTGTTGGTGATTGAGGTAACTAGTATGCAGATATTTTTGCAGGCACTGTGGTTGCTATGGCTGATCCAATACAGGACAGAAGCGATGTTGGCAATGCTTACCATGAAGACGAATACGGCAAAGGGAATGACCCCGTTTCTTTGTCAAGGCTGACGGGCATAGAAGTGAAACCTGGAGCTGGAAGAAATGAAACTCGCACCAAGGGCATAAGACATCTGATTAGGCGTCATCATTTGGTCTACGCTTGTGGGGCTTTTGAGGAGGAGATCGGAACATCTGTGGATCTGCCTAGAGTGCTGTGGCTGCAATCCTCACTAATAACATGAATCTTGAGTCTAATTCATATATGACGCTAGTAGTATCATACTCTAAGAGTACAGGTCGATTAAAAAAAAAAAAAAGACTGAACTTCAGGCTAGACTCGCCTGCCAGCTCGACGGTCTAGAGTTCAAATCCTCATAGAGGTGGATTTTGTTTTTACACAAGTAACCCTGGCTCCTTGGTCAACCCTGCCTAAAATGGGTACTAGGTTGGTCCTGAGAAGTACAGGCCGGCACCGCGACGTTGAATATATCACACACTGAGTGCTTACTGGTCTGTTCAAATATAGGTCTTGCGTTATTTGCAGATTTTCTCTTTCTTTGAAAAGTGACCTTGGCTCTAGGTAGGAATGGCCTAACATTTGTACTAGGTAATGTCATGTCTTGAGAAAAGAAAGAGGGTCCTTTATAAAAGCTTTTTATTTTCCACGAAGTGGAGACTCATTCGGAATATATTACTAGCATTATAATCCGAGAATTGAGGTCAATATGTAAAAAGACTTAACTACAAAACACTAAGGCAGCTACGTTATATATAACCTACATATTTACTAAATGTGCAAGGTAAAAGTGTGAAGATCGAAGAGACCGGTTTGATTTTACAATATCAGTGTTAGATTGTCAGGAGATGAGCCAGTCTATATACGACCTGCAGAAGTAGTCTAAACTGACCCATAGAGGGACACATTATTCATATTTAAAGGGAAGGAGTTACCAGATGAAGATACTTGTGATGATTATAATAAGGCAGCTAATCTACACCCTCTATGTAGTATTGGCATTCACACCGAAATATATAGTTAGTTAGTTAGTTAGTTAGTTAGTTAGTTAGTTAGTTAGTTAGTTAGTTAGTTAGTTAGTTAGTTAGTTAGTTAGTTAGTTAGTTAGTTAGTTAGTTAGTTAGTTAGTTAGTTTAGTTAGTTTAGTTATTGGTTTAGTCCGTCCAGTTAGTTAGTTAGTTAGTTAGTTAGTTAGTTAGTTAGTTAGTTAGTTAGTTAGTTAGTTAGTTAGTTAGTTAGTTAGTTAGTTAGTTAGTTAGTTAGTTATTGGTTTGTTAGTTAGTTAGTTAGTTAGTTAGTTAGTTAGTTAGTTTTTACGTGCTTTGCTGAAGAAGAAAAAAATCGTCGCGTTCAGCCAGCATCCCCAAAGGAGAAGCACTAGGTTAAAATTGTGACTAGGTTATGTGCGCTATACCAAATGGTTTAGCATTGCATGCCACTAAGAGCCATGAAAAGGACTCCTGTAATATTTATGCGATCAAAGGAGACAGACCCAAATACTGTCTCGACAGGCGACGAAGTCGTTCACCGTCAAGCCCACAGGCGACCTGATTGCCATTGTGTTAGTCTTTCTTTTTAAGCCTAGGGCGGCGCGTAGGGCATAGGTCATAGCTCTCCATGTCTGGCGGGTCGTTGCCACCTGCTGTAGGTCTTGAATGTGCTTCAGACCTATGGTTGAGCCTTCCCTGATGATGTTTCTACACAGGGTTTCTCTTGGGTCTTCCCCGTTTTTTTTTTTTCCCTTCTGGTAAGGGCTCGACGCATCGTCGACGTAGTACCAGCGGCGCTTTCTTATAAAATTATATATTCGTACATTATGTCATAAAGACCGGTGTAAAATTATCACAAGTATTCTATTACTATTTTAACATATTCTACTGTTTCACTATTGTTGCGTCATTTATAAAATTGTCATATTTGATAAATATTTTTAAACATTATTTGTTTCAAATATCTAAATTCTATATACAGGGCTTGATTTTGGCTTTGCTGTTTTGCTTCTTGAATAAGGAGGTAAGAATAATATTAACAAATATACATGCATATTTCTAAGGTTGAGTCAGAATAATGGCTACCAGTGTAGCTGCACATTTAAAAAACATGACAGATTGAGAGTATGGTGGCTGTGAATATGACAAACAAACTTACAGCCCATAACAATACAGCACCAAGACACTTAACCCGCTCTTCGTTCACATCACACTATGTTCGGCACTTCTGGGAAAGTCACTCATTGTTTTCTTTTTCTTCTTCTTCTCCTCCTCCTCCTCCTTCTTCTTCTTCTTCTTCTTCTTCTTCTTCTTCTTCTTCTTCTTCTTCTTCTTCTTCTTCTTCTTCTTCTTCTTCTTCTTCTTCTTCTTCTTCTTCTTCTTCTTCTTCTTTCTTTTCTTTCTTTCTTTCTTTCTTTCTTTCTTTCTTTCTTTCTTTCTTTCTTTCTTTCTTTCTTTCTTTCTTTCTTTCTTTCTTTCTTTCTTCTTTCTTTCTTTCTTTCTTTCTTTCTTTCTTTCTTTCTTTCTTTCTTTCTTTCTTTCTTTCTTTCTTTCTTTCTTTCTTTCTTTTTCTTTCTTTCTTTCTTTCTTTTCTTTCTTTCTTCTTTCTTTCTTTCTTTCTTTCTTTCTTTCTTTCTTTCTTTCTTTCTTTCTTTCTTTCTTTCTTTCTTTCTTTCTTTCTTTCTTTCTTTCTTTCTTTCTTTCTTTCTTTCTTTCTTTCTTTCTTTCTTTCTTTCTTTCTTTCTTTCTTTCTTTCTTTCTTTCTTTCTTTCTTTCTTTCTTTCTTCTTCTTCTTCTTCTTCTTTTTTTTATCTTCTTCTTCTTCTTCTTCTTCTTCTTCTTCTTCTTCTTCTTCTTCTTCTTCTTCTTCTTCTTCTTCTTCTTCTTCTTCTTCTTCTTCTTCTGCTTCTTCGCGTTCACCAGCTGTAAACTCTGGTGGAAAGTTCTGGTTGTTCATCCACTTCTGGACTGCAGTCCTGTTCCAGATCCTGATTGTTGGGTGTGCATCTGTTTTACAGATCTGACTCATTCGTATGCAGACTGTTGGTTCCTTACTTCTCAGGAAGATGCACTCCGACTTTGAAGGAAGATTCCAATTAGTCGACTCTTACGACATGCTTTTGGATAGGCAGTGGGTCTGTTCTTGTTTACTCTATAACACGGAGAGTTTTCTGATTCTATTTAACTATACTATACAGCCGTTTGTCTGACTCATTCTGTAGACACCTTTAAATATGCAATAATAAAGCCAAGGGCTCAAATGCCATCATTCCTAGCATCACAGCAACCTACTAACTTGCCCCTCTAACTTTTTCTATTCTCTTTTCTTTCATTCTCTTATCTTCCTGTATCTTTTTTCTCTCTTTGTTCGTCTCATCTTTTTTTTTTCCCTTCTTCTCGCTGTTATCCTATTTCGCCTTTTTTTATTCCACCCCCCCCCCCCCCCCAACCTATCTTTCCCTCTCTCTCTTCTCTTTTCTTCTCGCCCTTATCTTATTTGGGCTTTTTTTTTCTTTCCCGCGCCCTCTCTCTTCCTTTTGACTTCATATCCATAATATGCATATTATTACATGAATATAGCATGCTTCATTGATGAAATACAACTGCTGTGTGAAAGATGGAAGTTTGGAAGGGCGGAATGTAAGACAGGCCTACGTGCCTAATTTGTAACCCTTTGAAAATAAAGTTCGTTCGTTCGTTCTCTTTCGCTCCCTCTCTTTCTTCTCTTTTTTCTCTTCTCATTCTCTTCTTTGTCTTCTCTTTTCTATTTTTTTTTCTCTACTCTCTCTTCTCTTTTCTCGCCCTCTCTTCACGCCACGTGTCTTCTCCTCTCACCTAGGACATCTTCTGAAGCTCATTTTAGGATATATCACCATCACTTGTATAAATCTGCCACAATGAGGGGCCTGAAGCCAAAACCCAAGTAATTTGTCACTGTGATGTTGCGGCTTCCATTTGTTATTGTACATTGTTAATTTTTGTTTTCTGCAATTGCTGACCCTTATAAATCCACAGGTACACAGCGAGATCAAGAGGATATGGTGGAGAAGGCGCACAAGAAAACGAGACAGTGTATTCACCAGGTCATACGTCTTGTCTTCGTTCAAGAGAAACACTTCCAATACTCAGACATCCTTTAGCTCCAACCAGCCTCCGAGAGCTGCAGCCAGACTGCCCAGCACAGACAGTTCAGATTCTGTTCAGCCCAGCTGGTGTGGCCGAGCATGTGTTACCCTCATGAGGTGTCTGGGGCGCGAAGAAGAACCAAGTCACTACACGAACAAAATCAATGCCGCTACTATTAGTGAGAATGATAGCTTTTATCTGGCCACCCAGAATTATAAAAATGATCACGCGGAGATGAAAATGAAGGAAGGACTGTGAATTATTGTTGTTGAGAAAAAAGAATAATGGTTAGTTTGGTTTTGTTCAAAGATTATTTTTCGAAGCTACTTGGATGTTTCAAATCCACTCATACGGATCACACAGGGAGATGTTCGGCATTTAGCTCGAAGCTTCAGCTTGGGCTATGATCTAAATATGTGAATACCCAGTGATGTTTTAGGAGTCCCCGGTGGCGTAGCTGATAGACGCGTTCCTGTGGGCCCGATCATCTATGTTCAAAAGCCAAAACCTCAGGCGGCTTTTTAACAAACAAAAACAACAACAACAAAAATTCAAAATCTACCTTGGCTCTTGGGTCAGTCTAGTGTAAAATTGGGTCTATGTTATGTAACGTGAAGACCAGGTGACCCGCATTATGTTGACTACAACACCCATCGAGTACCGATTGAGCTATACAATTTTAGGTTTAGGACTATATGCTTGATGCGCCAACGGCTTAAATTGTTACTTTACTGTTAATCTTTTGCCATCATTATTGGTTCCCTGGGCAACGCAGTGCACATGTCGTGCCTACACAACAATAAGCAAAAGAAATGTATATTGTAAAAAAGATCATCATGGCGTCATTATGCTAATGTCGCCTCCCGCTCAACTTTCATGAACAGAACCATAAAGTTCATCACTATCTCTTGCCGTTGCATCAACCCTATTGTTTGCTTCCCTGGTTGTTGAGCTGGGTAAGGTGATTTTATCTAAATGAATTGCCATTTAGATTGCCACTCAACAGTCACTGAGGTTGTCAGTCTTAAAGTCGCAACATGGAAGAGTACACATGCATAAATAAGCCACCTTAAGCTAGGAGGCTTGCTGAGATTGTATTATTCGTCTATCACAAGTGATTTCATCCGCTAGGCGGAGGGAGGCTTCAGCAGGGGCAGATTGCTGATAAAGCCAATCCTGTCAGGTTATTGTGCAATGTTAGCCTGAAAAATTTGGGAAACACGAGTTTCGGGATAGAGCTCATGATCTTTTCTTATTTGTCTTTTTTGATCTAATGCTTGCCATCTTGGCAGTTTCATATGCCACTGCTCCCTGGCGGGAATAAAAAAAATCCAGGTTAAGCGGTTGCGTGCCGCGAAGTCCAGTGTATGTTTATCAAGACCAAGTGTCCTTATACCCACAGGGGCATATAGATAAGGGAAGGCCAAAAAACACACGGAGAAGAGATCTGGAGAATGAAGTTAGAAAGATTTGAAGGACATGGTGAGAGCTCCATGCAATGGCGAAGGATAGAACTACTTGGCGTGAGTTGGTTGAGGGCCTATGCTCCATTGGGGGATAGAAAGGTAGAAGAAGAAGAAGAAGAAGTGTCTTTACAGAGATAGTGATAAATGAGACACGGGCTTAAAAATTAAACCCTGTTACTCAAAGACTTGATACTATTCTGAGATAGTGATAACATATCGAGACGAAGTACTGCACTCCTTTCATTTTCCGTCCATATCTCCTAGAGAAGCATGGGTGTCCAACCAAGTCACTATAGGTTGATGTTTCTATCTATCGCAAGGTACTCAGTCCATGTCACCCCCCATCGTTTTAACTCTCTGGTTATTTTCTTTGCATGATTGTAATCAAAAGCCTGTTGTTTCTTGAGTATTGAAACATTTCAGGTACTACTTCAAGTGATATTCCTGGAAGGGCGATAGCGATTAGGACTCCTTTCGGTTTTCTCCTGCATAACTTTTCTATTGGAAGAACTTTCCTCTATTCTCATTTCCCCCCTCCCTTCCTCCCTTCCCCCTCCCCCCCCCCCCCATTTTCTATTGTTCTCAACCTTTATATGTAGGATATTACATACAATTTTTATCCGTGTGGGCCCCGGTGCCTTGCTGTGGAGAAAGAAAAAAAAAAGAATGGACCCATTGCTTCACAACAAGCATGTCGTAAGAGTCAACCTATATGGATTATTCCTAGAAGTCAGAGTGCATCTACTTGAGAGTCAATAACCCAACAATCTGTATACAAACAAGCTGTGTTTGTAAAACAAATGTGCACGCAAAACTCAGATGCCAGAATGAAAATCCTGAAGTGAATAAGCGACTAGAACTTTCCGCCAGAGTTTATTATATGAAAAACGCAAAGAACTTTATTCAACTATTCATGGTCTATCTGGTTTTTGCTGTTTTTGTTTAGGATGAAGTAGCTCTGGCTAATCTTAAACCTACCCCTGGGCGTTGCTTACCATATGTCTGGTAGAGTTTTTAAGTAAAATTAAGAACACTTTTTCACGCGTTCAGGCATATTGGGCATATGGGCTTAGACCTATATTGTATAGACCAATCGGCACTTGGTGATAATGTGTTGGCCGCCCTTACTTACTATGACTTCACCTGGTACCACTTAACCCACGGGGTAGAATTACTAGACTTTGTCAAGAATGCACTGAGATACTAATATGCGGACACAGATAAGACTTGCTTTTCGACTTGCTGTAATAAAGGCAACGGGTTACTGACAAATTCAAAACCTAAACACGTAAATGATAATTACTTCTTAATTATTGAATAGATACTCCATGTATATGAAAATATCTACCTAGATATTGTTAATTGTTGACACTTGAATCAAATAGTTCCTTTTGCTACTGGTATCTTCTGTAAATTCATTCATTTGGTGTGATGCTTGCATACCATTAAACGTACTTGTAGAAGCGGTTTGCCTCTGTTACTGTAAACAAGAAAATACCAATTATCAAGACAATGCTTTTCAACTGCATTTGTGAAATAAGAAAATACAAACAATATATTGAACAATTTATTACCAGATACATTTTGCTTTCTCTCGTCAGGTGCATACGATATTTTTTTTTTTTTTTTTTTTGGTATTCTGCAGCGTTCCGAGCCCTTGAGGTTCATTGCTGCAGATATCATACGCCTACACTCATCTTTCTGGTTGGTCTTCTCTTTCCATTTGCTGACACCAAGTGTTTGTAGGTCAGTCTAGACGTTATATCAGTTGTCTTTTTGGTCGCCTCGTGGTCTACTCCCATTGATCAGCTCCCTTGTGAATACAGTTTTTATCTCTCTGTCATCTGACATTATTTCAAAATACCCCAGCCATTTCAGTCTAATAGATCTCATAATGCCAGTGATCAATGGCGATTTAAACAGATTATGAATTTCGTTGTTGTTTCCCAATCTCCATTCCCTGCTGTTTGCATTTTTGCTGCTCTTTATGCTAATCTATTACGTATAAGTGGCATTTGTGGAAAGCTGTCATAGGTACTTGTCATCTCCTGCTCTTGATACGGGCACGCTGTTACATAAAAGTGGCATTGATTGCTGTTGCTAATGGAAATCTGTCTTAGATACGTGCCATCTCCTGCTCTTGATACGGGCACGCTGTTACATAAAAGTGGCATTGATTGCTGTTGCTAATGGAAAGCTGTCATAGGTACTTGTCATCGCCTGCTCTTGATACGGGCACGCTGTTACATAAAAGTGGCATTGATTGCTGTTGCTAATGGAAAGCTGTCTTAGATACGTGCCATCTTTTACTCCTGATACTCACAATTCTGGTATTGCATATATGTGGCATTTACTGATGTTGACATTGTCAAGACAAAACTATAAATGATGTCTTCTGTCGAACCTGACAATATATCACACACACGCGCTCGCGCGCACACCCACACACATGCACACACACACACGCACACGCACACACACACACACGCATAAATACCGTTCTAAACAACTATCTCGAAAACTCATGTACCAATTGACAATAATTTTTGCATGTACTTTTAGATTTCCTATGTCCTTATGATTTCATTATTTACTATTGCACAGGTGCTACTGTTTTCTAACAGCGGCGAATTTCTTTGACCTTTGTTGGACCAACAATATCTGTACCCTTAAAAATGAATATACAATAATTGATACAAATCAATGACTTTTTATGAGACAGTTAACAAACATTATAACAGTATATTGCTAACCAACTTTATTACTGAAAGTAAGAGCTTTGTTCGCACCCAATAACCATAAATCGCGAGCAATGTGATGTTTTGCTGAGTTCGCCCTAATCTATTTACAGAAACATACTAGCTGTATGTTTTGAGTCGGTGTCTGTTTTTGCAAATACCATAAATAGGCCAGAATAAAAACTAGATGTTTATTAACATTATGAATATTTCTCTTCAATGACATGATTATTAACAGGTTGCATGCCAGATTTCAACAATTTACACAGAACTGTTATTAAGTGACAGATTTGCAAAGTTGGTTACGATTTTTGGTGCCGTCTGTGGCATTCTCTCATTTTATAGGTGTGGCAGATGCAAGCTCTCGAAGGATGTTGACTATATAGTCAGTTAACATCATAATACCACCATCATAAATTTCCTGGTGAAAGTCAGCGATGGTAGTAATTTGTCACCTTGTTCACATATACATTCGTAATCTGCACGTCAAACTCACCTAAGTGCATATTTTGCGATTTTCGCTTGTGCATTTTCGGGCCTGTAATTTGTCGTTTTACATAAAGACAAACACAAACATGTAAATGGCTACATCAGTTAGATCAAAATGAAGTATCGTTTCTTCTAACTACACTTTAACTGCAACCTAATGTTCAAAAGCGATTTTCATCGTAACAAGAGTCATACATTTTGAGGTAGTGCGAACGAAAATAGCCTGTTTAAATGTGTGCTCCTTCCACTGTGTAATCTATGGTTCAACATTTTTGTTCATACATTTTTATGATACAAAAAAACCGGTTCATTGAGTCAGATATTGTACGTTGTCTATGTACTATCTGCCTCTGCTTTAGCTAAACTTTATGACAAATATGGCACCTTTTAATTTAATGACAATAAAATAATATCTTGGCAGTTTTTTGACTTGAAGTGTTTTATTAATAAGATGTTTCTAGCAGGGAACCGCGATGGCATAGAGACTACAAAGTGAAGTAAAGGTCTCGCTACACACAGAGGGAGAATAGTGACTAGTCCTAGCCCCCAAAAAAATGTAATGAAG